CCCCAAAACCCCAAAACCCCTCAGAGAAAATTTCATAGGTTTTTAAAGATTGAAAAAATATCAAAATTAAACTCCTTAGAAATATACAGATAAATTAATTTTTGCTCTTAAATAATATAATACTTTAAATTGATTATTTTTAATCTAAATACCACACTCAATGAACACTAAGGCAAAGGAAAATTTTATTTCAGAGCTGAATAATGATTAATATTCGACTCTACTAACAGAATCATAAGAGGATTCATCAGTAGATAATTATGAATAGCCTACTTCAGTAGAATCAAATAATGTTAATAAAAGGAATTGCTTTCGAAGAAATTATGATTAACTTTGACAATTTGATTGAAAAATAATTCAAATAATGACAATACATTACATCATTGAAGGGCTAAAAAGAGCAAAAATTCAAACGATTGAAATTTACTTAAGAACTGATTTAGACTTAGACCCTACTGAAATTTAAACTATAATGATGTTCACGAAGATATCATACATTTTAAAGATGCTTTTTGGAATGATGATTGATAGATGCAGTTTTATAGCCAACAATCTCTTTTGTTGGATTATTTTCTTGCAAGCAGTTGAGTTATTATCTTTTGTACTACTGGCATTGGATTTAACAAAAGATCTTAGAGTTCTTACATTTATATTAGCACTAGATACTCTTTCTAGTGCACTTATCATACTAATATTCTCAAAATTAATGAAAAAGGAGGCAGATAAAGATCAAGTCTAAGGTGCATTAATTTTGACCAATTTGGAACATTTGGCCACTAATTCTGCAGGAATAATCAGTGCATTATTAGCAGCATTATTTACAGAATTTTTAAAGACTAGTACGACTTATTGGATAATATGTGGCATTATTAGCTTTTAATTAGTAGTCTTCATCTTATTCTACTGTTATGTGATAAGAAAAGACTAATAAAAAAAGTGAAATAACTCATAATTTAATGGAAAAAAATCAGAGAAATAAAATCAAAGTCTAGATAAAGTTAACAATAGCGATGATAAATGTCCGAATTAAATTAAAAAAGAGTCAGAAATCAATTATAATCGAATAAGTAACAGAAAACGGACCTGTTATGAAAAGATTTGGATGCTAAGAGAGATATATTTGACGTTATTATTTATCATAATTCATGCTATTCTTTCTCCTTAGTATGGGGCATTTGAATAAAGATTTAACTCTTAAGTATTAGACTATAGTAACTTTACAATTTGCTTGCTAGGAATTGATGGATATTTGATTGCTATTTTAGGAACTTTTTACTGTTATAAATTTTTTAGGAATTGGGAACCTAGAAATCTTATTCTCATAAATTAAGCAGCAAAGATGGTTTCTCTGTTGTTAAATTATATTCAGAATATTAGATGTTTCGATGGTAAAGGGTAAAATATTTTCTATACAGTTTTAATTTCATTCATAGCAGATCCATTCTTAGCTGTATTCTATAATGTTGCTATTCAAATAATATACTTAAGACTATCACCAGCAAGATACTAAGCATCTATGAGCTCAATTTTTCTATCAATTGCCATAATCTCTTAAAGTTTCTTGAGTACTCCAATTGCTTTAGCATTGAATGATTAGTTTGCCTAGGTCACTAAATATAATATAGAAGATATCTACAAACTCAAATATATCCAAATGATTTTTTGTATGGGAGTAGTTCCATTTATATTCCTTTTGCCCAATTTTGATAGATTTAACAGGTTTAACTCAGCCTTAGCAGAATTAGGATATGATAGAGATAGCGATGAACCAATCACAGTTTCAGATATTATCCGCTTAAATCCTAATTCTTTGAATGTTGTAGGAACTCATGGAGAAAATAGCGCTGATTTATTTATAAGCAACAGAAAAAGCATTACCTAGAAAAAAGAATAAGCGATAAGAACATCTCTTTAAAATTAGAATTGATTCTAAATTCAAAAGTCAGTATTGATACATTTATCATGATTATTATATAATTCTATGACTAATCCTTAAATATTTAATAACTCAGACTCAAAGCAGAATAGTTTGGAATTGAATTTTTATTATTTATTCTCTAAAATGTTCCTGAATTTTGATTTTTGGGGTTTTGGGGTTTTGGGG